GTATCAGTTAGAGAACCATTGAAAACCAGAGAGTTCTTGACAGCTGTTCGTACAGCGGTATCAAACGGTCATCGAAAATTAACTGCCTGTGCTGTAGCAACTAACTCGCCTACCTACGTTACACCATGCGGACGTTGTAGGCAAGTGATAGCAGAGTTTTCTGATAATCAGTGTATTATATTTCTTGTGAATAAGAACAAAGAAGTGAAAACTGTTGAATTCGGTGAATTATTACCTTCTGGATTTAATAATGAAGACTTGAAGGGTGGATGTGCAACGAAGGAAAAGAAAACCTAATTCACGTGAAAACACTCTTGTCAAGATTCACAAGTCATTATTAAAAATCAGTAAGTAAATGAACGAAAATGACGAAAACCTTGTTGGAATATCATTGTCATTCTGAATTTTATGAAAAGGAGAAGACGTTCAGCGAAGAGACTCTTTTCGGCGAATTCATTCACATAGCTGTACAGTCGCATTTATATATGATTATTTGTGTGTGTATGTGTGTGCGTGTAAATAAGGTTTTTCAAGTTTAGATAATTGATCAGGTAATAAAAGAATGATCTAATATAGAAACAAGGTTAATTAGACAGCAACTAAATCTAATAAACCAAACTTACGATCTCACATCCACAGCAGATGAAAACCTACAACAACTCAAAGCATCAATCCTCGACTGTTATCACAAGTTTGTAAATACCAAATCCAACCGAAGGTCCATTTTGACGGATAGGCACTATAAGGAGCTGAAAGAACTTATGAAAAACGAAGAGATTATGATATTACGTCCTGATAAAGGTGGAGGAATCGTAATAATGAATCGCAAGGACTATATCAGTAAGATGCTCCGTAAGCTAAAGACTGAATCTTTCATAACCAACGAAACGTTCAAATCCCTAAGACCATTCGGCTCAAATATACCACGACTTTACCAACTCCCGAAAGTAAACAAGAAGGGTATCCCTCTTCGACCGATCCTCGACATGACCAATTCGCCTTATCACCGCACAGCCCAATGGCTAGCAGACCTACTAGAACCAATCAGAAGACAAGTTTCCTGCTACACAGTTCGGGATTCATTCGACTTTATTGACTCAATCGAAAACGTCAACGTATCGAATGAGACCATGATCTCATTAGATGTCACATCACTATTCACAAGTGTTCCACTGACTGAAAAATATGCTATATATGCGAACTTATTCATTCCAAAGTAATAAACATCGGTATACCCACCGAGCGTCTTAAAGAACTCCTGCTGAGGTGTACCCTGAATGTTCAATCCTCTTTCAACAACGAAATATATCGCGAAAAGGATGGTATAGCTATGGGCTCACCACTAGGCCCATTGCTTGCAGATTTCTTCATGGCAAAACTCGAACACACATGCCTGAAGAAAATGATCGATACCTTCGAAATCTATAAGAGATACGTCGACGACACTTTCATTATCGTCAACAATGAAGAAAATCTAGACGACATCCTGAAGTCGTTTAACAACTGCCACCCCGCGATTCAGTTCACATTAGAGAAAGAGTCCAACTCCAAAACATCCTTTCTTGACGTCCAACTAACAAGATGAGAACAGGATGGAACACTGAAAAGATCTATCTACAGAAAGTCGACATGGAACGTACAGCTTACTAACTTTCACAGTTGGGTACTCCTATACACCAAACGAAACCTGATCCGTTCACTCAGCTACAGAGTTCGCAGAATTTGTACCCCGGACACCATAGAAGATGAACTGGACAATCTCAAGAGAATCCTCGTCTAGAATTGTTACCCAGAACGACTTATTGCAAAATCTATGAATCCTAGACAAAAAAGCCGCCTATGTTTAGCGTCCCGAAGAAACCACTCTACATGAACATTCAATTCAATGGAGATATATCTGCAGAAATACTAAAAACTCGACTGTCGCGCTCACTCAAGAAGACCTTCTTCGCAGCTGAACTACGACTAACTTTCTCCACAAAGCCTATGATTCATCTCAATGTGGAGGATAAGCTACCACTGTTGGCCTCATCAATGTGTATTTATCAATTCACTTGCTCGTGTGGAGCCAGGTATGTCGACCGTACCCAGCGTTCGCTTTCCAAGCGTATCACCGAACACTTACCAACTTGGTTTTACAAAGGAGAAAAACGATGTCCCCGCAACTCCATCTTAGAACATCTGATAGAATCCGGACGCTAAGCTGCACCCCGAGCAAACTTCAAAGTCGTCTACAGAGTAAGAAGTAGTCTTCCTAAAGGTGTAGGAATCAGACTTCTTCAAAAACTGCAGAAACAATGGCAATTTACTTGCTAAGCTCTGAACTCTGCATAAAGAAAGAAGTTCGTTCAATCACTACACTTGCAATGGACTTAATCTTTCTCATTAACCGACAAGTAAATTCCACCCAATTCTTTTTTTCTGTCTCTTCATTAGTATTATTTTGTCTTCTCAATCGTAATATTTTGCATTTTCAACGTTTTTGTTCTCTACCCCCACCCGATTTAATTTCTACACCTCACTATCATTGTCACTGACTTGACCAACGTTCAATTTCTACTCATTTATGTTACGTCATCCAACTTAATTGCTCAATTTCAGTCCTAACTTAAATGGCATTATTATCTACCCCACTTCTACTTAGTCTCTACCTGTAATTACCTCTGTTGCTACCTTGACCTAAGTTGAAACATTTTATTCAATTATATTACATCATCTACATTACTAACTCAATCTTATTTTAGTTGCTGTCTAATTAACCTTGTTTCTATATTAGATCATTCTTTTATTACCTGATCAATTATCTAAACTTGAAAAACCTTATGTACACGCACACACATACACACACAAATAATATATAAGAAAAGAGTCTCTTCGCTGAACGTCTTCTCTTTTTCATATAACTCAATTAGGATTTTCAGGCTATTCTGAGTTTTCTTTAAATAGAAAATATGAGATTACTTAAGTTTTGTAGTGTTTTTCTAAATATGAAGATTATTTGTGAATTTCAATCTTTCGTTGCATTTCTATCGATGGATAAATTATCAGAATGACAGCTGGTGAGTGAAATTTACGAATATTGTGGTGCCTTATCTGTGTGTGTGTCTGCAGAATTTAGAACCACTTTTGTTGGTATAATGACTTTTTTATAATATCTGATGCTTAGGTTTTTCCTTAGATAACTATTCTTTGGAAATACGGTGCAACATACTGATTCTTATTTGAGAGCTCGCAGTATATGTGATCTATTTACGACTATCTTTTTTGTGCACTTCAGGTGAATGAAACAGATTGATTATATTTATTGAATACGTCTTTCTTTGTGGACTCAATAATCTGGCGGTTATAGGAAAGAAATATCAGAAATCTGTTCACATCACTGTTGATTACCTGAAAATCCCTGCGAGCTGATATATTAATTTTCAGACTGTTGACAGCATTTATTTATGTTTCGTCAACAGGTTATATAACTTTGCTTTTATTGTACAGCTTTCCTAAGTTTAGGTTATTAATGATTAGTTTGTGTAATATGACTAAGTCTCGAAACTTCTCGGGCAAATGGCAATCAATATGGATTCTAATAACCTTTATCATGAATATATAAAATAGGGACAGTGTAATCAGTTGTGACGAGACCAGCTCATTGGTAAACGCCCTATCACAAGAAGAAGTAAGACAGACCGGATTATATGGTACGCTGGAGTTTTCTGAGAATTGTGGCTGCGCTTTTTAGCAACGGGTAAGAAATATCGTGAAATCTATGTCAGGATATTCTTTCCGCTTGGTCCTTGCTAATTTGCGATGTTGAATTTCAACCCACGTCATTTGGAAGCATTCGATTGTTACTTTAAACACGTTGTTCACTTGATAGATAGATTTTAATCAAAAACCCAATGGATATTAACCTTTATTAATATTCATCCAACAGTTCTCACGTATGCTACTTCCAAATTAGATTTCATAATAGGAAAGCTGCAATTTTACTTACTCTTGTGTATATTGTTTCTCGTTGCACTCTGTCCCATTTTATTATACGGTTTTCTTGGTGACGCAGGTTCGTTTCAGCTTCGTAAACAATACTGAACCACTATAGGAAACATCCTGTGATATTGGAAGCAACTTTCGTGAACGAAACATGAACAGGTACAAAAAACCCACTTATGACAGCCTACCAGGAGTAATTCATGCACACAAACCTTATGAAGAGAATTATGATGTGAAGTGATTACAACTATAAGTATACGTCAGGGATGTATAATGTCTGCATTCCTGACTAAATCTATTGTTGACGTGTAATTTATTCGGTTTTAATTAATTCGCATTTAGTGATTGACAATTTCCTTTGCCGTAATTTTCAGCTCTTCATCGCTGCTTGTTCTTGTTTTTTGTATGTAGATAGTACAAGTAATTTTAGGTGTGCTTGTATAAAATAAAAATAATAATATGAAATGCAACTAAAACTAAAATGTTTGTGATTATAATCCTAGTTAAATGTCAAGTGGCAAAGTAAATTAATGTCATACATAGAGTAGGTGTAAATGCATAAAATAATAATAACAGTATGAAATGCAATTGAAAAACTAAAGTGTTTGTGATCACAAACATTTTACAAACAAATTACAGGAAATCAACCAACAACACAGAGAGGGATGAATTTAGGAATTTGTATTTGGCAGAATTTTTTGTGATTTATATAATAAATATTAACAAACATTTTAGTTTTTTAATTGCATTTCATACTATTATTATTATTCTTTGCATTTACACCTACTCTATGTATGACATTAATTTACTTTGCCACTTGGCATTTAACTAGGATTATAATCACAAACATTTTAGTTTTAGTTGCATTTCATATTATTATTATTATTACTTTATGCATTTACACCAATGATTCAATTGCCTCACCGGATATAACTTCTTAATTCTCGCAAATACGAATTTTCCATTTCTGTCCTCTCCTCTTTCGTTTACTAATATTCGGCCATTGTGGAATACAGTCACAAACGTTTACTGAATTTTGACGTTGTTGTGGAATTAAGTAACCATGGAAAGTCTCCAATAAATGGATATCTGTGGGAAATCAGAGATTATGTTCGAGATCGTGAAATTTCGGCTCATTGTTGTACTGTGATTGGGCTACAAACACACAGTCTACCAAAGTCTTCTGTATGTCCAGATAAGCCTATTTCAGTGTCATATTGACAGTCTCCGAGGTATTTTGGTTGATCATTTCCATGTTACTATTTTGAAACACGAGGGAGTTTGCAGTTCGGAAAAACTTGTTCGTGCTTCTAGTGAAAATATTCGTGGATGCAAATGTGAGCTTCAAAATGCAATTTTGGAAATTGGCTTTACACTCCATCTCATAGTCATTTAATTCCTGGTATTAATATTCTAAAGGATGAAGGCGGTTCAGATACGTTCCAGAACCTTTCAGATTGTTAAAGATTTGTCTACCGCACATCAAGATGTCAGCAGCGAATATCTCGCTCTCACTTCACCATAGCCTGATATAATGGTGTCTAAAGTTCATAATGCAGATATTCATGTTGAGAAATCCAATATTTCATCTACCAGTAATAAATTGCATACAAACGACAATAATATTTATTTTTATTTTTCATATTGAAAGATTCACTTAAGAGGTACTTATCATTTTCGTAAGAATGTACATGTTATGCTTACTGTAGTATCCCTATACCAACTGTAAACACGCTTTTTGTATACTTATATTTTTGCACAGACCGATTTTATATGTACTTCGCAAACATTTGTCAATTTACTGTTGAACATTACCTTGACAGTTTTAAAAATTTGGCTACTGCTATAGTACACGATCGTACTCTTCGCAAGTGCTTTTTGGTTTTACGTTGTGGGTGTCGAGTAGCCACAACGTCTATGCACATTAATAAACGTGAAAAAGTACTAGGAAATACGTGTACGCTGATTTAGTCAAATAACGCACGCAACATTACTACCATTTCATTTACAGGCATCACGCATCATCAGCTACGCATTATTTGTGTCGTGCAAGCTATTTCCAGAGTCAAACTTACTAACATTTTTGTGGCATGTAATTGATACTGTGTTATAATTATTTGTGATGGCGCTATTTCACAATGACCAAATTACAGGAAATCAACCAATAACACAGAGAGGGATGAATTTAGGAATTTGTATTTGGCAGAATTCTTTGTGATTCATATAATAAATATTAACAAACAGCAGTGAATATTTAAACAATACAGTATTAAAATCACGGAAAATACCCATTGAGTCATGAAGAAAATAAAAGACGGATTCAGCGAAGAAAATTTTCTTTATCGACGAAATCATCTTCAGAGGCTGTACAGTCGTATTTATACTTAGAAGAATGTATGGTGGTCTATTATTGAATAATAGGGGGTGACATAATTGCTGTAATTAATCATAAGTGGCTTTAGAGGTGAAAATTAAAAGTTGTAAATTACATGGTACTTGACGGAACAAAGATAGAAGTTAGAAAAGGTTAAAATTGCTCTTGAGTGAGAATAAAGTTATTAGAGTGTCAATTTAACAAGTGTGAAGAAGGTGTGAAAATATATGAAATTGATAATAGTGAATTAATTATTAAAGCAAAAGCAAACTAAAAGTAAAATTAAAGATTAAGAACAAAATCAAAAATATTTTTTAACAGGGAAGGATAAGTGAAGAGGTTAAGACCAAGGTAGAATAAGAGACTGGACAAACTTTTTCTGTATACAGAGATCAGGGTTGTATTGATGTATTGCCAGCGCCTCCGCCATACACAAAAGCCGGAACCTGACGCCTTTTGTACAATTTGGCTTCACTTTGTAGATGATGTTGAAAGACGACTCTGGTGGAGCTACGTGGCCTGAGTTCACCAAATGCTCGAGAATTGAGCTAGTAATTGTCTTGCATTGTCCCTTTGCTAACCATGCCGGATAATGTTCAGAGATGCGTTTGGAAAGCGTGCGCTTTGTGCGGCCAATATAACTTGCTCCACACGAGCATGTGAATTTATAAACACACATTGAGGTGGCCCAAAGCGGCAGCTTATCCTTTACACATCCGTTGATCATTCGTCGGCTGTAGAAATTGATACGTAGCTCAGCCATAAAGAAGGCTTTCCTCAGTGATCTGCGTAAGCGATTCTTCAGGATCTCAGCTGCAGTATCACCTTTAAATTCAACGCTCATAAAGAGCGGTTTCTTCGGCACAGTCTGAATTCTTTCGGGCTTTTCTCTTAGCTTCATGTTTTTCTCGATGAATCTTGGAGGATATCCATTCTCTAAGAGAACTTGTCTGAGTCGCTCCAATTCCCCATCGATTGTATCACTTGAACATATCCTCCTTATTCTTGAGGATAGGGAATGGATCAAATTTCTCTTTCTTCTTAAAGGGACCCAGCTATGGAAATTTGTGTACTGACCATTCCATGTTGGTTTCCTGTAGATCGATCTTTGAAGAGAGCCATCAGATCTCCTCTTTAGAAAAACATCCAAAAAGTGGAATTCCGAGTTAATCTCTGATTCCGACGTGAATTTGATGGCATGATGGCAGCTGTTGAACTCATTAGTTATCAATTCGACGTCAGTATTGTCGTCACATATGATGAAGGTATCATCCATGTATCTTAGGTACAGATGGAAACTGTCGATAGTAGGCCATAAAATACTATTCTCCAGACTGGCCAAGAAGCAATCTGCAAGTAAAGGACCCAGTGGTGACCCCATTGCTACTCCATCTCTTTGTCTATATATCGTGTTGTTGAATTTGAATTGAACATTTAGAGTGCACCTCAAAAGTAGTTCCTTTAAGTAGTGTATCGGAACACATACGTCCACATTATTATCTTCAATGAATTTGCATAAAAAGCAGATAGTTTCAGTGAGGGGAACGTTGGTGAAAAGCGAAGTAACATCCATAGATATCATTTTCTTCCCAGATACATTAGCATCATTTATTGAGTCGACGAATTCAAACGAATCAGAAACACTATGCTTGCAGAGATTATTTCTGATAGGTAGGAGGATTTCTGTGAGCCATTTGGCAGTAGCATGATATGGAGAATTTTTCATGTCCAGGATTGGACGTAGTGGCACGTTCTCTTTGTGCACTTTTGGCAGACCATATAAACGGGGAATCACGGAACCGGAGGGTCGTATTTGCTCGAATAATTCAGAGCTAATAATCGATTCGTTCTTCATATTCTTCAGCATTTGTGTTATCTTGCTCTCAGTTTGTTCCGTTTGGTCTTTCTGGCTACTTTCTTTTGAAAATTTGTTTTCATCTGACAAGACTGATAACATTTTATCGATGTAGTCTTGGCGATCCATCAGGACAATGCCAGAACCTTTGTCGGGGCGTGTCACAACCAAGTCTTTGTTCTTTAGAATCTCACGCAATTGCTTTCTGTGCTCGGCTGAAATCAATCTTCTCGCTTTTGGTTGCGTGTTGATGTACTGATGGCAGCTATTTAATACTGTAGACTTGAATTGTTCATATGATTTGTTGGACGCTGCAGAAAGGTCATTTGTCTGTTGGATCAGTGCTTCAAATTGGACTTTGATATCCAAGTCACTCGAGTTTGTCGAAATATCGCAGAATTTTGGACCCAACGACAAGGCTTGCAATTGGACAGGAGTCAGCGATATACTAGAGTAGTTGAAGACGTATTTTTCTGGTTTGGCAGGAAAACAAGAGTAAGTGTCAGCGGCTTTGAGGCTGTTCGCGAGTTTCAGGTTTACATCTTCACAGCGTCTTCTTGAAACTGACTCGATGTAGTCCATGAAACTTCTCTGCTCGTCTTCTGTCAGCTCATATAGAGCATGTGTTCTTAGTGAAATGTTTCTCTCTATCTCCGGTAGGCGAGATTTTATTTCATCGATGACGTTCAGTGTATGACGTTTCAAAGAGCGATGGTTTGGGTGAATATGATTGCGACGAAGACATTTCCAGAAGTGCTTGGGATATTCTTTCTTATCAATACAGCTCTTCAGAAAACTGATTCTCGCATTCGCTATGGCAAGCTTGACAGAAAACTTAAGAAACGTATCAAGTTCTTTCACTGTCACAGGGTTCTTGCTCTGTTTCAAATCACGGAAAATACCCATTGAGTCATGAAGAAAATAAAAGACGGATTCAGCGAAGAAAATTTTCTTTATCGACGAAATCATCTTCAGAGGCTGTACAGTCGTATTTATACTTAGAAGAATGTATGGTGGTCTATTATTGAATAATAGGGGGTGACATAATTGCTGTAATTAATCATAAGTGGCTTTAGAGGTGAAAATTAAAAGTTGTAAATTACATGGTACTTGACGGAACAAAGATAGAAGTTAGAAAAGGTTAAAATTGCTCTTGAGTGAGAATAAAGTTATTAGAGTGTCAATTTAACAAGTGTGAAGAAGGTGTGAAAATATATGAAATTGATAATAGTGAATTAATTATTAAAGCAAAAGCAAACTAAAAGTAAAATTAAAGATTAAGAACAAAATCAAAAATATTTTTTAACAGGGAAGGATAAGTGAAGAGGTTAAGACCAAGGTAGAATAAGAGACTGGACAAACTTTTTCTGTATACAGAGATCAGGGTTGTATTGATGTATTGCCAGCGCCTCCGCCATACACAAAAGCCGGAACCTGACGCCTTTTGTACAATTTGGCTTCACTTTGTAGATGATGTTGAAAGACGACTCTGGTGGAGCTACGTGGCCTGAGTTCACCAAATGCTCGAGAATTGAGCTAGTAATTGTCTTGCATTGTCCCTTTGCTAACCATGCCGGATAATGTTCAGAGATGCGTTTGGAAAGCGTGCGCTTTGTGCGGCCAATATAACTTGCTCCACACGAGCATGTGAATTTATAAACACACATTGAGGTGGCCCAAAGCGGCAGCTTATCCTTTACACATCCGTTGATCATTCGTCGGCTGTAGAAATTGATACGTAGCTCAGCCATAAAGAAGGCTTATATTGGCCGCACAAAGCGCACGCTTTCCAAACGCATCTCTGAACATTATCCGGCATGGTTAGCAAAGGGACAATGCAAGACAATTACTAGCTCAATTCTCGAGCATTTGGTGAACTCAGGCCACGTAGCTCCACCAGAGTCGTCTTTCAACATCATCTACAAAGTGAAGCCAAATTGTACAAAAGGCGTCAGGTTCCGGCTTTTGTGTATGGCGGAGGCGCTGGCAATACATCAATACAACCCTGATCTCTGTATACAGAAAAAGTTTGTCCAGTCTCTTATTCTACCTTGGTCTTAACCTCTTCACTTATCCTTCCCTGTTAAAAAATATTTTTGATTTTGTTCTTAATCTTTAATTTTACTTTTAGTTTGCTTTTGCTTTAATAATTAATTCACTATTATCAATTTCATATATTTTCACACCTTCTTCACACTTGTTAAATTGACACCCTAATAACTTTATTCTCACTCAAGAGCAATTTTAACCTTTTCTAACTTCTATCTTTGTTCCGTCAAGTACCATGTAATTTACAACTTTTAATTTTCACCTCTAAAGCCACTTATGATTAATTACAGCAATTATGTCACCCCCTATTATTCAATAATAGACCACCATACATTCTTCTAAGTATAAATACGACTGTACAGCCTCTGAAGATGATTTCGTCGATAAAGAAAATTTTCTTCGCTGAATCCGTCTTTTATTTTCTTCATGACTCAATGGGTATTTTCCGTGATTTGAAACAGAGCAAGAACCCTGTGACAGTGAAAGAACTTGATACGTTTCTTAAGTTTTCTGTCAAGCTTGCCATAGCGAATGCGAGAATCAGTTTTCTGAAGAGCTGTATTGATAAGAAAGAATATCCCAAG